ATGCTTTGTGTGATGTTTTATATATCAGTTGTTTTTAAATTAGAGAAAAAAGATAAGGTGCTGCTGAAATGAAGGTGAGCAGGAGGGGCTGTGCATTGTTTCTCAAACATGTTGAGTGTGTGTGTGTGTGTGTGTGTGTGTGTGTGTGTGTGTGTTGTGTGTGTGGTGTGTGTGTGGTGTGTTGTGTGTGTGTTGTTGTGTGTGTGTGAAGAGCAGGCTATATCACACACCCATGAGAGGGAGCCAACAAGTCAGCTAAAGCTATGACACACCAGAGGTTACAGTCACAGATGTTTCCCTGGATTTGTCTTTGTTAGTAATGAGGGAAATGTGTGCCACTAAAGTTGTATGAGAGCTTATCTTCCACTTTGATATACATTTTGGCCAAATGTTGTTTACTTTACAGGAAATTATCCGCTGTGTGTTTTTCACTACTAAATAGTCTCTGGAGCCTTTTCTGTTTGGCATTGACTTTTCTCTGCAGTAGCAGTTCAGTTTGCATGTTTTACACAACACCATTTATCAGCTGGCCTAAATATTTACTCTGGTAAAGTAGCCGCTCAAGGGTACACAGTGATATCCCTGCTGGGTTTTGGACCTACAATGTGTGAAGCTTTGATTTGCATATGGACTCTGTGCACCTGACATTTGATGTGCTACATACTCATTGCTGTTGTATTTGGTGCTGATTGACAGCACACTGGCCTAAGATGTAGAAAAGAATATTCAGATTCTCTCCAGTTGGAGAAGAATATCTATATTATGCAAATATATATTTGTTTCTGCCTGTAAGATTCCATTCATACACATTAACTAAACTCTTATAGTTTACAGTTTAAACTAAAATGTTTTTTTTCACTCCCAGTTATAAAGTTCCTCTGCAAGGTCTGACATTATCAATTTCAAAAATATAAGCCACCAAGTAGCCTTGAGCCAGGCTTTATGTGGTTTTAAAGGGAGCTAGACAGGAGGCTGTCAAGTATCTTTGATTTTTAAAGAATGGATGAATTGGTTTTAAGAGATAAATTTAATTCAGTAATTCACAAAAAGCACTAATTTGAGGAAACATCTAGCAGGGTCCAGACCTTCAGGTTAGGGACCAAAGGCTTACGGATAACAGCACTGTGGCTATTAACATAAATGTATCTGTGTCATGGTATTTATTTCTATTTTTCAGTTAAGGCATTCAGCATTTAAAAGAGGAACAATGTATGTGTGAATGTTAAGCCGCAGAAGCCCCAGCTTGCGCTTTCATGGCACACCCTGAAGCAATAAAACGTGTGTGTAGCTTGTCCAAACCAGTGTAGAAACAGCACACTTGTGTACTTGTAATTAATAAAACATTAATATGGTGTATTCCACTCAGGTTGTGCAGTGTAAGAGTTTAGGTTTTGTACAGCTTGGCGCAAGCCCTGCCCTGAATGGACCAAAAATTAATAATGTTTAGTTCAGATCACAGCGCCTAATTTTCTAATATTCCTCTCCATCGGCGGCCTGTTCGTTTAGAAT